CAATTTTAAAGAAAACTCCATATGAATTTTTCAAAAAAAAAAGCCTAACATTAGTTATTTTCATCCTTTTTGATGTAAATGTTTTGTTTTAAACAACTGTAAAGAAAACATTGGCAAATTTGATGCTAAAAGTGATGAAGGAATTTTTTTGGGTTATTCCTTAAATTCTAAAGCCTATCGTGTATTTAATAAAAGAACTTTAGTTGTAGAAGAGTCTATACATGTTGTTTTCGATGATAATCCCCTTCCGATGAAGGATTCTTGTGTGAATGATGATGTATGTGTTATAAATACAAATGACGTTAGACATGACGTTGGAGAACCATCATCAAAGGAAGAAACGAAAAATGAGGAAACTCATGATCCTCTTGAGAATCCAATCATTGAAGAAAGGGAAGTATCTTATCCAAGAGAGTACAACTATGTTAAGGATGGTGAAATTATAGGTGATCCATCAAAAGGGGTAACAACTCGATCTTCTCTTAGAAATATTTGTAATTATGTTGCATTTATCTCATGCATAGAGCCTAAGAATATTAAAGAAGCATTAAATGATGAACATTGGATTATGGCTATGCAAGAAGAGTTAAATCAATTTGAGAGAAGTAAAGTATGGACATTAGTTGAAAGGCCTAGTAATAAATCTACTGTAGGTACTAGATGGGTATTTAGGAATAAGCTTGATGAGAGTGGTAATATAGTGAGAAACAAGGCTAGACTTGTTGCTCAAGGGTATACTCAAGAAGAGGGCATAGACTATGATGAAACATACGCTAACGTAGCTAGGATGGAAGCAATTAGAATGTTATTAGCATTTGCATGTTTCAATGAATTTAAATTATATCAAATGGATGTTAAAAGTGCATTTTTAAATGGTTTTATAAAAGAATAAGTGTATGTGGAACAACCTCCAGGTTTTGAAGATTCAAATTTTCCGGATCATGTTTTAAAATTGACAAAAGCTCTTTATGGTTTAAAGCAAGCTCCTAGAGCTTGGTATGAAAGATTGTCAAATTTTTTAATTGAAAAAGGTTTTTCAAAGGGAAGGTTGACACTACATTGTTTTTGAAGCATAAAGGTAAAGATTTATTAGTAGTTCAAATTTATGTTGATGATATAATATTTGGTTCTACTAATGATGTTCTTTGCTAAGAATTTTCTAAGCTAATGCAAAGTAAGTTTGAGATGAGCATGATGGGGGAGCTCTCATTTTTCTAGGGACTCCAAATCAAGCAAAGAAAAGATGGCATCTTCATCAATCAAGCTAAGTACGTCAAAGATATGCTCAAGAAGTTTGGACTGGAAAATGGGAAACCTCATGACACTCCAATGAGCTCTTCAACAAAGCTTGACTTAGATGAAGGAGGTAAATGTGTATATGTTAAATTATATAGGCCAATGATTGGATCTCTACTTTATCTAACTGCAAGTAGACTGGATATTATGTTTAGTGTTTGCTTATGTGCTAGATTTCAATCATGTCCTAAGGAATCACATTTACTAGCTGTTAAGAGAATCTTTAGATACCTTAAAGACACTCCCAGTTTAGGACTTTGGTAACCTAGAGACTCTAGCTTTAGCTTGCATGCTTTTTCTGATGCGGATTATGGAGGATGCAAATTAGATAGGAAAAGCACATCCGGTACTTGCCAATTCCTTGGAAATATGCTAATTTCTTGGTTTTCAAAGAAACAAAATTGTGTTGCATTATCTACCACTGAAGCCGAATACATTTCAGCTGGTAGTTGCTGTGCACAAGTGTTATGGATGAAATAACAACTTTTTGATTATGGAATTGAAGTAGGTACCATTCCTATCAAGTGTGACAATACTAGTGCTATTTTTCTCACTAAAAATCCCATCCAACACTCTAGAACTAAGCACATTGAAATAAAACATCACTTCATTAGAGACCATGTCACTAAGGAAGATGTAGTTCTAGAATTTGTTGATACTTTGCACCAATTAGCGGATATCTTTACAAAACCTTTAGACAAGGAACGATTTTGGACACTTAGGAGAGAATTAGGTTTGACCAATCTATCTTCACTGAGTGTTTAAAATAATTTTAGCACTTTTAATAATAAATGAAAAATGCTTATAATAGTAATTTTTGATTGCATTCATTGCTATTAGTTAGGGGGAGTTTATGATTCTTGATGAAAAATTAATTTTATGTTCAAATATCGTTTAAAGATTAATTGAATTGTTTGAACATGATTAATTTTCAATATATGAGTTGCCAATACCACTAGAGGAAATTAATTTAGCATTTTGGTGTTTAAAATCGGATTTTAGCATTTTGGTGCAGAGGGAATCGATCCCCCCTTGAGGGAACCGATTCCCCCTTTGAAGGGGAACCGATTCCCACCACAGGGGAATCAATACCCCCTGGGGTTCTGGTTAAACACGGGTAGAACCCTTATTTTTGTTTAAAACCCTCTATTTTCTTCCTTCCACCGTTTCTCTCCCTCTAAGCACTCAAATCTCCATTTTTGCCTCAAATCAACGTTTTTAATCGAAATTCACTTCAAATATCATCCTCTAAACCTGTTGGAATCATCAAAAACGTGCAAACTTCATCTAATCTCACTCAAATCCGAAATCATTCAAGGTATTTTTCCAAAACTTCTTTTTTTTTATCAATTTATGAACATAAACTAGTTTTAATTAGTTCTAGTTTGAATTTTAGATCGGGCATTGATTATTTAGTGATTAGAAACTAGATATTACAACTAATTTCATCAAAAACACAAGAATTTTCCTAAATTTTCTAAATTTTTGAAATAAAAAAAGAAATAAAAAAAAATTTATTTTCAAATTATTGTGTTTTGATTAAATTATGTTGTTGTTATGAAAACTATACATATATTGTTTCTCAAAACCATATTTTTCAAAAGTTTTTCAAAAACTTTGCCCATTAGGATTGATTTAGAGAACCTTGAAATATTGAGGACTCAATTGAGTTTTGGGATTGATTGAATTGCATACATGTGTTTTCTAAATTGCAGGTTATTAATTCTATTCCGATTTCCTAAACCATGTCCAATCCTAAACGTGCTAGGTCATCATCTAGTCATTCACACCGTGAACCAAATCCACCTCCAAATCCTCCTCCTATTCCAATTTCTAATCCTAATCTCATTGATCCTAACTTGACTATCCAAAATTCGTGTTTCAATCATCCTGGTCCTAGAAATCATCGTTTTTGGTATTATCAATATTTTGACTCTTACAAAATCCAGGAAGAACGTATTTTCTATTCTAATGTCGTTTGTGTTAAAAACCAAACTGAAACTGAAACCATAGGAATTCGTTCCTATCTTCTAGGACAATTCTTATATATTGACTCGGCTTACATAGCCAATACATTCGGATTAGATAATGATGGTATTTCAAATGAAAAACAGGTTTTAGGATCTCGTTATAAAAGAAGGGATAGTGCAAGTGTCTTAGACCTTCATGAACGTTTTCTTCATCTAATGATTTCTTGGTGGTTTCGACCATCCGGAGGTCGTTATTCTACTCTTAGAGCCTTAGATCTTTGGTGGTTACATTGTTTCGAAAACAATTTTAAAATTAACCTACCTCAGATTATTTTTGCTGAAATTGTTGAAACCATAAATCTTGTTCCTAACAAGAAACTCTGTTCATCTCTTGTTTACGGTTGCATTTTGAGTAATCTGTTTTCCAAAGATGGGCTTAGAGTCGGTCTAGATGCCGTTTTTCCCCTTAAGAAACAAATTAATCTTCTTTCCTTAACGAGAGCGGGATGGATTAAGGATAAGGAAACCGGTGAATGGGTTCGATCTTCTGCAAATACTCCGGGAGCTAGTTCTTCACAGGCTCCACCCGAAGCTGACGAAGATCTCGAGCTTGAGCAATTAATGCGAGACATCGATGAAGCCGAAGATGAGCCTGAGCAGACCGAGGAGCAGCCCGAGGAGCAAGCACAACAAACGCATCAAATGGCTCCATATTTTCAAACCTTTATGGAGACATTCGATTTTCGATATGCTACCATGGATTCGCGCTTTACTTCTATAGAGTCCCATTTATCCGCAATGGGAGCTCAACAATTAGAAATTCTTCGGGAGATGCGTACAAACAATGAAGCAACCAACGTGCGTATTAATGACCTCACCAACGAAATGGCCGCTATGCGAGCTCGTTTTCCTCCTCCTGATCCTGATATGTAATTGTATGTTTTACTTTGAACTCCAAAATTATTGTTTTAACATTTTGAATATTTTGGAATGTTTGAATTTGTGGATTGATTGACTTTGAATTTGTTTTTATGAATGGTTAGAAATTATCTATTTGGTGTGATTAAATTTATTCATTATTGCATCATTTACTTCATGATTAGATAAATGACCAATTTTGCCATTTCACATTAATTATGAATATTGATTATGAAACTAATGGCTAACGTTTCTCTTGCTTGTGATCTTAGCAGCTTATATTATATATAATCAATTGGCTAAATGATTTCAAAACCTTATTTAAATTCTTTAAAATGTCTTTTTGATTTAACAAAAAGGGGGAGAAGTGTTAAATGTGTTTTTAAATGATAAATGGGAGAAGTGATTAAAGTAAGGGGGAGTAATTTCAAAACTTGATTTCAAAATCTTAAAATTACTAAAATGTTTTGTTATATCAAAAAGGGGAGATTGTTGAAAACATTTTGATATTTTGATATAACAAATTAAGTTAAATGAATTTTAAGATTTTCCAAATGATTTTCTAAGTATATTCGATAGAATTATTCGAATATCAAAACATTACTCCAAATCTTTCAAAGATCATTTTTAATCCTTACTCAAAGTGTAAAATTAAGTTTTAAACTTAAAACAATTTCAAAATAATTTTACAAAGTATTTTGAACCATTTCAAAGCCAAAAATTCCAGATTGCTCAGAGGGAACCGATTCCCCCTGAATGGTTTGGCTCCGAGAATTCCAGTATGCTCGGAGGGAACCGATTCCCCCCCAGGGGGTACCGATTCCCCCTTGTATAACGGTCGAAATATTTGAATTTTACACTTAGGGAACCGATTCCCCATAGGGGGTACCGATTCCCCCCACGCTCCAAACTGTTTTATTAATTGTTTTCACACTAAAACTGCTATATTATTTTCTCTAATTATCCCCAACGTTCAGAAGTGATTCAAGGTGTATTTAAGCAAGCTTAGAATCCATTGATCAATAACAAGAAACATCAAGCAATTAGAATCAAGAGAGAATCAAAGAGAAAGCATCAAACCTCAAGTTTGAGCATTTCAAGCCTATTTTTCATTCAATATTCATTTTTCTTTCAAGAACACTTATTGTGCTCAATTGTATTTATTCTTGAGTGTTCTTTCTTTGTTCTAGAATTGTGCAAACATATTTTCCTTGTGAGGTTTTTCTTGTAAGTTTGCAGATTTGTATTTCTCTTTGAGAAAAGAGTGTTCTCAAGAATTGTGGTATATTCATGAGGGAGTTGTAAGGTTATCTCTTTGGCCTCAAAAGAAAAAACAAATTAGTGAATTTGTTGGAAAATCCTTAGTGTGGATAGCTAAGGTAGTGGACGTAGACTTTGGTTGATAAAGTCGAATCACTCTAAATCGCTGTGCAATTTCTTTCAATTTTCTACAAAAGCTTCCACAAATTTTTTTATTGCCAATTCATCCCCCTCTTGGCCGATTCAGTCAATCGATTAACCTAACACATTTTCATTGAGAGCATTGTTTTGTTTGAACACGTTTTTGTTCTGTCTTTCATATTTGTTTGATCTTTTGAACAATTGAATTTATGCTACCTTCTAAGGTGGAATAATTGAATGAGTTTTAATCTTTAGTTCTTTGAATATCAAATGAGTTAAAGATTCTTTTAAATCTTCAAGAATTATATATTTTTGACATATGACAAGATTATACCTATCTTATCATGTCCAAAGACAAAATAAAGTACCTTGATTCTTTACCTCAAAAAAACTCACGATTATTACCAAAATACCAAATTTTGACATTATCTTTCCTTGATACACAAAGAGTCATACCCATACCTTTCTTTGAGTTAATAAAGTCACATCATTGTCTTCTTAGGCGCAAAACCAACATTTTTTCTACCAATAAAACCGCAGACATTGAGTACAAGATGTTCACTTGAGCATGAACCGTTCTATCATAAGACACAACTTGGGGTATCTCGTATCAATTTCCTGAAGTTGAGCTTGTAAAATTGAGGCATGCCAGGAGCGAGAAGCAGAAAAGGAGAATTAATTTGAAATAATTCTATCGTGCATTAATTACATTATTTTCATGTGAATAAAAACTTAATCCTGAAAATCTATCCCCTTGGGATACCTCTTCTGCAAAGATTTCTGTGTATGAGATGATGAACGGTTTTGTTTCATCTATTCATATATGTATATATCACTTGTTGTCCTCTTTTGAGTCTATAGTATTTTTCTTCTGATTCAACCCTAACCAAGGATCCCCTCCACACTGGGGGCAATGTGAATGAAATCTGCTCACATGAGTGAAGACATCAATCCAGAAGAGATACCAAAAAGGTGAATCAAGTGCCAAGTGTGAATATCTAATCAGAACAAAGAGCAAAAAGGAAAAAAAGAAAAAGAAACAAAAAAACAAAGAAAAAAGAACAAGAATCACATGTAAAGATTCCCTCAAGTCAAATAACGCATCAAACTTCAAACCATGAGATTGATCAAGCACAATCATTCCAGAATCACTTCACTCGAAGATCATGGAGCATCCAAAGAAAATCAAGAGAAAGATATACGAGCATATTCAAATTGAGCAAGACATGATTGAAGGCATCAAAATAAATTGATCATTGGTTCAATCACCCTTAAACACTTGTTTGGGCCTCTTATCTCTTTGTTTCATAACCATGAACCATGACCTACATTACGCACCTTAAAAGTCCCTTCTAATCATACATAGATTTTCTAAACAGAAGAGACTATCTTCAGATTTCATCCCGCACATCAGGATTAATCTTTATTTGCAAAAGGTTTTCTAAAATATTTAATGCATGATAGAAAAATAAAAAGGGGGTTCAAGACGTAAATTCTAAATAATGTTTTGAAAGCAAAGGAGGATTCAAGTTGAAAACCTGAAAAGGCGGCTCGATATAAAAATGGTGCAACTGAGACAATCACACAAATTCCTTGATAATGCATTGCACAATCCGAGTGTGACCATGAGAGCCGGAAGTCGGAGAACACTTCCAATAGATGAGCATACAAGTTATCCCATCAGATCAGTGAACATCAAAGAAACAAGAAGGCCAAACCATTGACCAAAAATAACAACCTGAGACATTTTACCATTTTCTTACTTAACCATTTCCCAAAGATAGCTTTGATCTTGACACTTGTCAAATAGTTATAATCCATTGAAGGATTAACAATGTAATTAATTTTTTTGATAACTGATGAACTCTAGTTTTATGATTTGTTTTAATTGTAAAACCCAGAAATGAGCAATATTTTCAAAATATTTGATTAAACATTTTTCAAAACTCTTCTAATTGATATTTTCAGATTTTGAAAATAAAAGAAGAAAAACATTTTTCAAACAAGACAATCTCTCTAGAGTGGATCTTGGTATTTGACATGTGGCTCTCAGACACAAAGCTCATGCTTAGCATCAGTGCTGAAGTAAGAAATGAGGAACAATGAAAGCATCTTTGAAGATTCAACATCAAATGTTGGGGCATATTTAAAGATTCAACATTGGATATTGGGGCATCTTTGGGGATTCAACATCTTGTTGCAAACGATCAGATCTTCTGAAGGTATTTCATCCACCAGCAGGAACAAGCAGACTATCAGTATCATTTGATGTTGTTTCTCTTAAAACAAATTTTGTCTCACTTGAGACAATTTCTCAAAACAACGTTTGTCTCACTTGATATAATTTTTCAAAACAAATTTCGTCTCGCTTGAGACAACTTATCTATGAGATACAAATTTTGAGTTTGTTTCATTTGAAACAAAGTTGATCTCACTTGAGATGGTTCTCAAAACAATTTTTTGTCTCTCTTGAGACAGTTTCCTTTGAAAAACCTTTGAGTCTATTTCTTTGGAAACAAAATTTATCTATTTGGAGACAGTCTGTTTCTTTGGAAATAAAATTTTATCTCTTTGGAGACAGTTTCTCGTAAAATACTCATCTTTGAGTTTGTTTCTCTTGAAACAAATATCTTTGAGATTGTTTTCCTTGAAGTGAATTTTGTCTCCCTAGAGATGGTTTCTTCTAAAAACACTTAATTTTTGAGTTTGTTTCCATTGAAACAAAACATATCTTTGAAATTATTTCATTTGAAACAAATTTGGTCTCTATTGAGACAGCTTATCTTGAAACAATCATCTATGTGATCGTTTCTCTTGAAAAGAATTTTGTCTCTTGAGACGTTTTATTTTTGAAGGATCATCTTTGAGTCGTTTCTCTTGAAACAAAACAACCATCTTTGAGGTCATTCTTCTTGAAACAAATCTTATTTTCCTTGAGACTGTTTCTCATGAAAACAACAAATATCTTTGAGATCGTTTCCATTGAAACGAATTTGGTCTCTCTTGAGACAGCTTCTCTTGAAGCATCATCTTTGAGTCGGTTTCTCTTGAAACCATTATCCCTAAAAATGGCCAAGACTCATCGCATACGAGCAGTGTCATCCCCTGACCAAGACTCATCGTATATGAGCAATGTCAACCCTTGATAACCAGTCGTCCTCATCACGTAGAAACCGCGTTATCATCCTTATATGGCCAAGACTCATCGCATATGAGCAGTGCCAATCTCTGAAAACCAAGACTCATCACATATGAGCAGTGTTATCATTATTCCTAAAGATGACCGAGAACTCTTCATCGCGTATGAGCAGTGTCATCCCCCGACCAGATTTTCCCAGTAGAGTGAAACCGTGTTATCATCATTCCTAAAGATGGCCTAGAACTCTTCATCACGGATGAGCAGTGTCATCTCCCCGACCAGATTTCCTCAACAGAGTGGAAACCGTGTCAACCTCAGATAACCAGATTTTCCTAGCAGAGTGGAATCGTGTTATCATCATTCCTAAAGATGACCAAGAGCTCTTCATCACGTATGAGCAATGTCATCTTCAACAGTAAATTATCTCTAAATTGACCAAAATTCCTCAACGAGAAGGAAGCAATGTCGTTTTCAACCTCAAAATTAACTCCAAAATAATTTCATCATCAAACATTGATTATTAGAAGAAAATGAGAGCCGATCAAAGAGGAGCTCCAGACTTATTGACAGTCCAAAAATTGGTGTTTTATGTCTTTGCTCTATTACTGTTTTCAGAGCAATAAGCAAAGAGGGGCAGCTGTAATAACCAATTTTTGTCCACCATGCACAGCCCATACCTTGATGTTCCCAAAGTTGTGCAGTTTCCCAAGCCTGTGTTGGTCGACCACTTCCAGCAACCCCCATACCAGCACCTTGCCCACGCCATGCAAGTCCCTATGCCATGCCCATGCTAGTGTGCTTCCACTATCATTGTTTTATTTTTCCTCTGTAAGGGTATATATCCCAATTGAATAACAATGTAAGAGGGGAACAAAAAAAAAGGAAAAGAACAGAGAGAAAAACCCATCCGAAACTAAAACAATATAGAGAGAAAAATAGAGGGTGAGGGAAGAGAAGACTCTTTGAGTACCAAGTTCACCGGAGGCGAGGAGGGGTCATTAGATCTTCAATATTTCGAAAGGTATAATCGTAGATCTAGGGTCATTGGTTTAGTTTTTGGTTAATACAGTGTTGGATCTGGGTAAAGGGCGAGGAGATGAGTGTTTGGGGTCGGTTTTACTATTCCAACCACTGTGCGCCGCTGTCGGCCCCGCCGTAGGAGCCTCCGGCCACCGCGGCCGTGCTCTCTTTGTTTGAGAGAGTTATGAACTCTCTCTCTTCTCTCGTTTCAGCAGAGAAACAAATGAGAGAAGAAATGCTAAAAAAGCCCATTTTGGGCTTATATATCGAACACAAAATGGCGTCGTTCTAGGGGGACCTTCTGCGTGATTTCTACGTGAGGGTTAACTACACTTTAAGTCCTTAGGGTCTTGTAATGTTATTATTAGACCATTAAATGAAATTCCACTTCATTTTATTTCGAGCATGTATGTTTCAATATTTATTATTTAACCATTAATTTCATGTGTTATATATTTTTATGAATATTTGATTTTGGTCATGAGATTTGTAAATGTTTTATTTCAGCCACTAATGGTATTTGGTTTAATTATGCTTCGATCCTTTATGTTTTTGTTCATTCACTTTGGTTCCTAATATTATTTTTGGTTTATTTGCACCTATAGTACATGCATTGTTTTATATTTTGTTTTTTATCTCTGGATTATTTCTATTTTTGTTATTTAGACCCTTAAGTTTATGTTTTTATGGTTTTAGCTATTTAAGTTAATGTTTAGGCCATATTAGTCATTTAAATTCCTATTTGTACTATTTTAGTCCTTTGAGTTTATGTGTTTGCTATTTTGGTCCTTTGTAAGTTCAATTTTTTGTGTGTTCATTTTTATTTTGGTTTGCAATATTTATTTGTTTTCATTCCAGTTCCTTATATATGTACATATTGTAAATATTATTATTATATGTTATATATATTTTATGTTACATCGTATGTGTTTCTATTATATTTCCTTAAATATTAATGTTATTTGAATAGTTTCGATAACGCGGATTGGTAGAACGGGCGTGGAAAGTATCACTTGACCGAAGTGATACAATCTAATACGACGTTCGAATTAAATGGAACTCAAAATAAATCAATTTCATTTTTACTAATTAATTCATTTTTGTCGTACAATACGATGCATTTTTTAAATGACAATTTATTTCACGCAAAAGTCGATTTTAATTTATATTCGATTTGTATATTTATTAATGAGGGAATATTCTTTCATTGATAAGAAATAGTCGAGTTAGCATTCTCGATGGAGAATTACTAATTTCGAGATTTCTTTTCGAGTTAAAGAATTTTCTGTAATTAATTCGAAGTAAATTCAACAATGTTCAATAAACGGATCATAATTTAACTTTATATTCGATTTGTAATTTCCACCATTATAACAATGTGTAAGCGATACAGTACTAATTTTGGGCGTTGTGGGGTGCTTACCCTTCCCCACACGTAACCGACTCCCGAATCCATTTAAATAAATCTGTGGTAACGCAGACCGAATTTTGTCTTAAAAAAGGATTTTTCTTAAAATTATTTTAAAATACGTTTTTAGGTATTCAACATACCTAATCCAAAGGTCGATGGCGACTCCATTTTCCATTTTATTTCAATCAATTCAAAATCACCAAGTTTTTCCAAATTAAAGTCGTAACCGTTTTAAAACCATAAATAATTGTTCCACCTAAAAATGGTTATGACAACTGTAAAATGGTTTAAATAAATTTTAAGTTATCCTTCTAATTTGACACAAACAATTAAATATTCTTATGTAATTATAATTAATTTGGATAGTAATCTTTAAAACTTTTAAAGAAATTAAATTTAAGATATTTTAAAATGCAGCATTTGCATTCATAGTTAATTTATTTGGATAAGTATATAAACATATATTAAAAAAAATATGGGTATATTAGATTTGTTAAAATATATCAATATAATAAAATAAATAATATATATATATTAAAATTAAATAAAATAATATTTTTTGATTAAATCTTTATGTGTACTGGGATAATATGAACTAAATTTGTTTTTTTAAAACCACCTAAATGAATTTGAGAAAAAATATCTTTCAAATTTTCATATAAATTTCGAAAATTTTAATTATTTGTTATCAAAATCAATATTTTTTTTAAATTTAAAAATGTAGTTTTTATTTTCTTCCTCTAATTCTTTCCCCCTAAAACAACCTTAAGTGTGATATGATTTAATCCAAATTTAAATTTGAAAAAATCACATATAATCTCAATATATTAGAGTTGACATCTGATGAGTCAAACTGAAATTGAGAGTCGATTGTTAATTTATACCATTTCTATTTATGGTATTAATTGAATTATATGCAATAATTTAATATTATCAAGATGATGATAACAATTATTTCGCTTATCATAATTTATTGCATATTTATAATTAAAAAATCTACAATATTTGATTCGATAATTCACACTCTTAACCAAAAATAAAACTATACCTTTCTCTCAATTTCCTCAGTTTGACATCATTAGTTAAGTGGGCAATTTCGGTAATAGATGCAGAAAATGCAGGGACAAAGAGGTAACTCAGATACATCCAGTAAATTGATTGCTCAGTCAGCCTCTGTGATAATAATAGATTTATTCTTATTTAATTTTTTTTCAACAGTAGAAACAAAATTTGTTTGATGAGAGAGAGAGGGAGACAGAGAGAGATTTGCATATAAAGTTTTGATCTGTAAGTTTTGGGAGATGCAAAGGCTCCATCTTTCAATGGAGTTTATCCTTAGAAATGAACCAACTTTTGTTGGTTTCTCTTTTTGAGCATTTCATGTGGGCAGTTTCAGCAAAAGGTAAGGTTTTTCAGTCATCAAAATCTTTGTTTTCATGGACTGTTCTTCGATCATAATTAAATTGAATCAGAAATTATGGTTTTTAATATTTCTTTGTTGATTTCCCATCTCAATGCACTTTTAACACTTCTACATTCAATCTCATATCGCTCGCTGTTCCTAGATCTTCTTTCTTCTTCTTCTTCTTTTACTTTTTTAAAATTCTGTGGAAACCCACGAATATGATCGAATATTGATGATCTTGGTTTATTTCAGTTTAATTACAGTTCAAAAAATAATAATAAAACAGGGGGGATTTGATATCGGAGATGTCATCGTCGAGCTCTCCTTGCGCGGCATGCAAGTTTCTTCGTCGGAAATGCACTCAGGAATGCGTCTTTGCACCCTATTTTCCGCCGGACAACCCGCAGAAATTCCAGAACGTCCACAAGGTGTTCGGTGCCAGCAACGTAGCCAAGCTGTTAAACGAACTCAACCCTTCCCAACGTGAAGACGCCGTCAACTCTTTAGCCTACGAGGCCGAGGCCCGCCTCCGAGACCCCGTCTACGGCTGCGTCGGCCTCATCTCCATCTTGCAACACAGGCTCAAACAAATGCAGCACGATCTCACCAACGCCAAGAAAGAGCTGGCCACTTACATCGGTCCTCAAGCTTTGCTTCCTATTCTACAACCGCCTGTGTTTTTACAACAACAACAACAACACGTCGGTGGGAACCCTAGTTCCATGATGCAACAGAATGTGATGCCGATGATGGGGATTCCCACGGCGGCTTCGGTTTCACACGGTGGCCAGTTAGTGATAAGAGAACCACAACAGCAGCAACAGATATTTGAGGCTCAACAGCAATTGGCTGCAGTGGTAGCAGCAAGGGAACAACAAGATTTGCTTAGAGGATATGAACAGCAGCAGCAGCAACAACAACAACAGGGCCAACAGCAAGAGATTGTGAGGTTTAATAGTGGGTTTGAAGGTGGTGCTGGTTCAGTCACTGCAACTGGTTTTAATCAAATACCAACTGCAGCCCCATGTCACCTTCTTTGGCTTTAGACAACTTTGATAACCCTTATCAGATTCAGACACAACAGCTAGATCATCCCCGTCATCAGTCTTCTCATGGAAGTCATCCACTTCAAGCACAGCTTTTGATTCAGCCACAACAACAAAATCAGCAACCCCAAGGATCAGAAAGTGAGGAGGGCAGGAGTTCTGGTCCTTGTTGAATAAACAAGAAGCCTTTCCTTTTTTTTCCCCCTTTGTGTTTGCAGATTAAATGCCAGCTTCCTGCCTTCCCACTTTTTCATGACACCTTCATTCTAGGTAAAGTGTTTCGATTTTCCCTGGTTCATTAAGTGTTTGATGGTTCTGTGTGAAATATATGCTAGGCACCTGAATATCTACATCTTATTTTATACCTACCTAATATAATTCCTTGATGAAAATTTCCGGGAAAATGATCATTATACCAGGAAAATGAATCACCGCACTAGATTCTGTGGCAAGCATATGCATGAGACAGAAGGGGTTAACTACATTGGATTTCTATAGGA